CGATCATGCAACAAACATTTTATAAATGAAAATAAGCCTACAGTAGCATGACGCAGACATTCGTTTTAAAAACGTATCTTAATCAAGCACACAGACACCATGAAATTAATTTTCGGTTTCAAACCGTAACATTTTAGTTGAAGAAAAAGACATTTCATTACCAGTATGACAATGAATTTTCTATTTACTTCATACATTCCGTGGGCTGAAAAATTAGGACCTACAAACGATAATTAATTCGGTTTTACAATTAGGAATGTTAGATGAAACCCAATCGATAATAGGTACTGAAGTGCAACACAAAAAAAAATTGAAATCTTTCTCTACATGGAAGGTGACAAACAAGTCAATATGCTATTCTATTATTTTGTTTAACATGCAACTGTTCTGGATGCCATTTCTTGATAATTAGTATCAATCATTGTTAGATGTGACTAACTATTGCTTACAGAGATGCATCTGTTGTTTGTATCATTTCATTCTGCATATATTGATCATTGGGTTGTAAATAATCATATGATGAATGCCTATTCTATTTTCAAAGCACTCTCTTGCGCTTCAATCATCTGCTATATGTGTTTGATAGGTATACGATTTGAATAGTTGCTCGACATTGATATTACTTTGTGGTATAATATCAAATGTTGAGCGATGTTGTGTTTTTTCTATTTGTAATGTCACGAAGAACAGATGTTTTGAGAAAGAGAATGAAATGAAGTCGTATGTACTTTTACTCTTCCAATCAATAAGAAATTTGAAACAAGTTCTTCTAATTGTAATAGAGTGAAATATCCATTATCATTTTGACTAATATTTTCTTTGTGATCTACATCAGTCAATTTCGATCGATTCTTCCAATCAATGATGCTTATAAAAGGCTAAAAGATATACGACGCTTTCTCATTTTAGGAAGTAAAACAATACTCAATAATAACCAAATGACGAAATGAGAGAAGAAGATAACAAACTTTGAAAAAAATATTTCAATGAATGAGTATACGTAATGTTCAAGAAAGGTCGAAAAAACAAGGGAAAATTTGAATGATCATGACCATTTCAAAGTCTTTCTACTTTTACCTGTATAGCTTTGGTGGAACGATGGTTAGGAAAAAGGACACCGGAATCGTTATGTGAAAATCATTTAGTCTTTTCTTCTTCCACGAACTACTTGATATTGGTTGACAGCTTTCTCGAGAACAGAAGAGAGAAAAAAATATTGATATAATTGAGAGCAAGATATCTGTTGTTGTATATATAATGACCATATCCAAAAAAAACACATGTAATCATTTGCATTCACAGATGTGTATATGAATTTTTCAACAAAAAAGATAAATTCAAAATAGATTTCATAGATTTGTTTTTCAAGTATTAGAGTACCCGTTCGTCGAAGAAAAAGGAAAGTTCGGTCTTTGTTTTTTATTCAGATAAAATATGATTGGCTTCCACGTGTTATTTGCTTTGTATGTTCGTTTTGTTGTTCTTTTTGTGTTTTTCGTTCTTTGTCAAATTAGTGTGTTGCCAAAATGAAGTAATACTCAAATAGTATATGTTTTGCAACACGAATGAAGTCCAAAAGTAAGAGTGGATATTATCGTAACTCAAGCAACGTTGATATTCTCCTATGGTTAGTTGTCTGCTAGACAACTTTCTGGTCGAACTTATCCATAATTTATTCGACTATTTTTCGGCTCATGAAATTCGCTTGATGTTTTCCAATGTTTATCAATATTTGAATCGTAGGTGGCGGAACGTATAGACTGGGTGAAACTTAAGTCTTACCCGATTTTGGCTCCTGTAGGCTCAGCCTCAGTCAAATTATGAAGTTGAGGCTTGGTCACGCGCCAGCTTAGCTTTATTTTAATGGGCAAATTTTCTCTTAATGTGAAGATTGACACCTCTATTACACTTGTTTATATTTTGGGATGGAGAGAATTAAAAAACTGAAGTAATAGTAAACTCACCGACTGTGTTGTCATGGTTTATTAAAACACTTTTTAATTATCTTATTCACATAAAGTGTTGTGTAAACTAAATGAATCCTAGAGTCATGCGATCAATAAGCACCAAAACTAGCTATATATGAGGGGTCCATCTTCTCTTTTTTGATGTAGTCATTTTTTTAATTTCATTGGATCAAATACACCCATAATAATTATTTAAAATTCAGGAAAAAATATTAACAAAAGAGTCATAGTCAGGAGGAAGTTTATTTTTTACATGTATTTGATAATCTAGCTCTCTAAGTTTTTGGATGCATTTGAAATAATAATCCTAACGCTGTGGTAGGATTTTATTATGTTATCCTCGCCAATCACGATGTAATTTAGCGTTTATATAAATACTAATCGGATAAAGAATACTTTTTTTTGCAGCATTTTAACAGTTCTAAATTTTCGACTATAATCAATAAATTTCACCAAAACTATCTGCTGGATCAAATCTTGACTGTTTTACGAAAAAAGGTGAAAGGTCAAACAGTAGCTCTTTCAACAGAAGAAACTGCTTTATTGAGCTTACTAATTTTTCAACAATATTTCAATACTTTTTCATAATTGTTTTGACAGACCGCGGAGCTAATATTGCTTTTCACTGCTCTACCTGTTTTCTGTTTATATTTCTGTGATTGTATTTCTGATTCATATGTAATTTTGCTACAGTGCATTTTCGTTGGAGTGTTCTTTCCAGAGAGGGTTCGACTGAAGCTGTGATCGTGGGTATGGGTCTTCTTTGGAGTCACACTCTCATATTAGCATGCATACCTGCAACCACATTTCAATGTACTTTCTCAAAAAAATGTATCCTTGGAAATGTTTAAAGGGTTTCCGAGCTCACAAAACCTTGAAGGCAGTATGCCAACTAGAGACTTTAGAGTTGACTAGACAGGTTTTGACACCTCGAAAGACGTCATAGAAACTTTATTAACAGTTCCGAATTGCGATCTGTTTAGAACGACAGGAAGAAAACAACTACAATGAAGCTGGAAATAATCAGCTTTTTATCATACAACTTACTAGTTGTGCTGTATCGATATGAACCTAAACCAAAAACAAACAAAATATTAATATTGTATTCACAATGCGTAACTAGCCATTTCTATCATATCGATATCATCCTGAAAATCAAAAACATATTGTATTCATTTTTGTGAAAAACAATTTAAATAGTCACTTTCTATGTGTCATATGTAACTCACTGCTTCTGTCATATTGATATGACTCTTAACATAAAAAAAGAAAGAAAATATTAGTTTTGTATTCATTATATGTAACTTACCGTTTCTCTCGTATCGATTGACATCTAAACATTAAAAAAATGAATGAAATAGTCATGTTTTATTCGTTATATGTAGCTTACCTTTTTTACCATATTGATATCAAAGTACTAATAAAGAAGAACATTTTTTTTAATTTTTTCTACAGAACTTATCATCTTTACATCTTATCGACATAAGCCTAACCAAGAGAGTTTTGTCAGAAATGTTTTACGTGATGGAAAACCTTTCAGAAAACCTCTGAAGATTGCGAATGTGTTTTCGAACAACCTTAGGTTTTCCCAGAAACGGATTTTTTAAAGAGTAGACTCTACATACCTCATATACATATTCACACCCATCATGTATACTGCTTTATTTGTTTAGGCTATATACTATAAAAAAAACAATTGGTCACAATCATAACAGTCGAAAATGAAAGATTTGAATCTGAATTCTCGATGTAATTGCGCCATCCCACTTCGAAACAAACAATATACCAGTTTTAATTTTACTGTATTTGGATGACTTTCGTTCATTAACAACTTGATAGTTTGTGTTTAAACGTCCAGAAACCAATTATTTTTATTAATATGGATGATAAAAATCTATTAAAAGCGTTTTTTTTCCTCAAATTTTAAATCTGATCAAAGCTGATTTAGAATAGTGCCGTTATAAACAACTTTTAATCACACTAGAATTGATCATAATTGGATTCTTTAGACTCTTTTTAGTTTAATCTAAGGTTATCATTGAACAAAAAAATTAAATAGATCTCTTCCCACGTAATACAAGCTTTACACTAAAAAAAAGATTATGAGCTAGAAGAATCGAGAATACAATCTACTATAATTATCTTATGTATGAAGGATGGACTCCTTCGGAATCAAATAAAAAATGGTATCTCGTTGTGGACGAGTCTTCATAAAACCGATATGACTCACATCATAAATAGGATCGATTTTTTCGGAGCGTAGATATTTTGTTTTTGTAATCACCATCTCGTCTCTTGTAAGATAACGAAACCAGTGAGAATGATATTAGGAAGAATCTATGGGTAACTGATCATATTCTTGACGAACATTATCTTGCGTTTTATTCATACTTTTAACTTTATTATTGCTTTGTAATACATAACTAGAAGGCGTGTATTAGCTAAACTAGAAGACAATGTATCAGAATAAATTAACTATAGAGGGTTTTGAGTTTTAATGCATTGATTTGATAAAATCCATAAGCTGACGGTGTATGCAAGGTTGAATAAAGTTTTGTTTTAAATGCAGTACACACAGTTGAAAATACCTGAACCAATCGTGTTTCAATGATTTGACTGTGGCAATGCGATCAAAAAAGCATTATGAAACGCGGATGACTACGTATTTTTTTTCAAACTCTCTGTGTCTAGTTAAAAGTTTGCGAGTTTTGGAGATTTTAAATGTATTGATACAATTTTAACACAGTTAACTGCTTCTTACTGAACTCGTGTAAACCTGATTGAAGTATGAAAAATAGATTACTGTTAAAATAGAGATACTCAAACATTTTTGATAGTATACAAGACATCAAAGGAAAGGCAATTTCACACTGTTGAAACGTATTATTTGGGTGAATTTGAATACTTGGATAGAGCAAAGTCTTTTAAATGGTAAGCGTTTTGTGAGAAAACAAGGTAACTAGTGAAAATAAGAATATATACACAGGATTAAATGAAAAATGATAAATAATCTATTCAGTACAATTCAACAGGTTAGTAGATACATGTATATTGTTCGCAGAGTGCTTTGTCAGTGAGTTCACTGGTTATTTTTAATTCATGTTTTTTCATGGCGAAATACGTATCGATCAATGGCTTCGGCAACTCTTTCACAAGATCGCTGTCGTTCGACAGCATTTCAAGAGCATCGGAGAGACTCGACGGTAAGGTATTGATGTTGCGCATCTCTCTTTCATTATTGCTTAGTTCATGGGGATCCGTATCGATTATTGCCTTCAGATTCATATTTTGCTGAATGCCCAATCGTCCGGCTATGAGTATGGCAGCCATACTTAGATGTGGACTAGCCGTAGCATCTAACGGACGAAACTCAACGTTGTATTGATCAGCAATTGATCGATTGCTAAGACTCACAGTAGGAGAGATACGCAAGGAAGCTTCACGATTACGATAACCCAGGCAAGCATAGGCTGCACTCCAGTGATGTGGTTTCAGTCGCATGTAAGAAACTGGTGTAGGTGCAGTAAGTGCACAGAGTGCCGGTAAATGATTGAGTATGCCAGCTGTCCAATGCTCGCCCAGTTCCGACAGGTCATAACGGCGTCCTTTTTGATAGAGTAATGGTTGTCCATCAAGACCTTGAATACTCAAATGTAAATGAACACCATTGGTTATGGCTCCGACATATGGCTGTGGTGAAAAACTAGCGTGCATATTCATTTGTCGAGCAATGTCTCGGGTGATCTCACGGACATTAACCGCACGATCTGCAGCGGCAACACCTTCAGTAGATCGGCAGGTGATTTCGTACTGGCTTCGACCATATTCGGGAAGAAACATTTCTGGTTCGACACCCGCAGATTGAAGAGCAGCAACTAACCATCCACCAAAATCAGCCATATGACGATGAGCTCGCAAAGAGAATGCTGGTAAATCACTCATACATTGTCGTCCGTTCAATATGAATTCATGTTCGAATGCAGCTATAATTCGCATACCAAGCATTTCACGATAACGTTGGATTTCTTGACGAAGAAGCTCACGTGGACAACCGAGCCAAGCTTTACCATCAGTTTCGATAATGTCGCAATGGATAATGTCAAACATCGGTGCTTTTGGATCTGGTCCATTACTGATTTGAACTCGGCTTTCACGATCTGGTAATAAACGTAGATCACCATGTGAACCCCACGGATTCGAATCAGCAATAACGTCCTGTGGTGTCAGAGCACTGTTAGCTGGTACCCAACCACATCCACTATCCCAATACTCATTGATAGCTTCTGTGGGAAATGTCCGACCACGTGTAATACCAGTCAGATCCGTTGTAACTAGCATTGTCAGTGCGGTTGGTTGAAGATATGAACAAGCATATGATGATAAATTCTTTTGTTGCTCATTAACAGCTAATTTCATCGAGAAATCGCTGTTATTACTATTATTACTACCTACAAAATAATAGATAAATAGAATTCCAGCTCATATAACGCTCGTCTATGTTTGACTAGAGGAGGTTTCTTTCTTCTACAAAAAGTTTATCAGTGTCGAGTGATGCATCGACCTAAGAAATGCAATACTAATATATCATAGAAGAATCTGTGATATGTCTCATAAATTTTCACAAAACAATCATGCAGTACAATACCTTGAATCTCTTGAATAAATTCATCGGTGCTCATAATACGACAGTAGCCACCAAAAGCGCGCAATGCATTTTCGTGACGCTCTTGAGTATGAGTTGTACAGGCATCTGCTATGCAAATCACTTGATAACCTTTGTCGGCAGCGTCACGTACAGCCATGTCAACACATTGATCTGTTAAGAAACCCATGACCACAAGAAACTCTACACCAAGATTTCTCAATATATAGTCGATATTTGTAGAATTGAACACACCAGAACTTGTCTTCTTCAGCCAGATATCGTCTTCAGCTGGAGCCACAGCACTTATGACATCAGCTTCAGGTGACCCTTTTGGAATAAAAATATTTGATAGCTTATGATCCAAACTTCGATCTCGACCATTCCGAGTGAGACTTTCTATAGTAGTATACATGATTTCCATACTCAATGGACGTACGACTTTAATAATATGAACCATATTTGGTATGCAAGTTTCAGTTATTTGCTGATAGTACCAAGGTGTGTTTTGTCGATGTTCAATACTGATCTCACTATTTTGTACGTCAACCAACAATACAGCAGTTTTGTTAGGAATTATCGCTGTCAGTCTTGTTTGATACACAGTCATTCTAAAATTCAGAGCAAAATCCAATTTACTACTATCCAGAAATTTATTTCAAATGACAAGATATAAAATGACTTTTCATCTTCATCACATAAGTTACCTTAAAGAAACAGAGTGAGTTAAAAACTGCAATTTATTGGTCTTCCCTCAAATCTATCGACGTAGAAACAAGACACTGCTATGGATTGTGCCAATATCAGTCCTCTGTATATAGTAACACCAAAAAAATTACACTAGTCAAATACTCGCTATCGAGCAGAACATATAATTATCTGACTCGTGCGTCGTTGGTTAATATCCACATTTCTGTTTTTCTTCCACATGATGTATATCCTAGTAAAACCAGAAATAGGATAAGTGTTTTTTTTCTTGTTCTATTTAGGTCGTACAAACAAGCATGTAACTCTTCATCGAATCAATGCTTACCACAATGCACTTAACAAAAATGTTTTATATCAAACGTGGATTGGAAGATCGTTTTTCTCTCCGACGATGAATGTTACAAGTGACACCAAGCTCATCCTCAAAACAAAGTTTTTGTACAAAATCCTCCTGCGACAATTATACCTCATCACCCGTTTATTAAAATGTAAATATATATCTAGAGATTTTCATGTTATATCATGTACTCAAAAAAAATGAGCATGTAGATGAGTTTTTTTAAGTATAAATAATGCTTTATATATAGAGGAAATTTTCAGTTTTCTATTGATCATTTTCAGCCATATGGATTTTGGATGAAAAATCAATACGAAAAACACGAACAAGATAGAAAAGCAGCACTAACACACAAAAAAAACGAATATGTTGATCATGTAAAGCCAAAAGAACGAAATAGAGAACAGTATGTGACATATGTGTATATACATATATGTGATGATTTCAGATATAATAGACACTGTTTAAGAGGCATTGCACGTAAGCCACGACCAATTCAAGCAGACCCTTGCTCAATCGATATCACCGATTTGGCTGATATTTTTACATTAGGTAGGCCTAAGAGTCTTAGGAAGAAACTGAAAATTTCAGCTCAAACGGATGAGCCATTTTGGAGATATAGACAATACAAGTATGAAGGGGTAGGTCCCATTTGGAGTACTTTATAGTGCAATACTTTCCAGTAAATCTCTATTTTCTAAACAACAACAAGAGTTATAACCGAGATTTTTTTATCATAAATACTATCGACGATGGGCTATATTTTTATGGTAATAAAAGTATCTCACCGCTGTATCATTTTTGCCTGGCATTATATACCATTTTCAGAAAACATCTTTACGTAGATACTGCAAGTTGGTCGATTCAGCGCGCTAGAATAAATCGAGAGTAGTCTCAGCTGAAAGAGCACATCAAACTGCATCGACTGACGTTTTCAAAATTTTGTGGAATTGAACTTTGGTAGCAAAAAGTTTTTGAACAAGACGGGAAAGGCCGAATTTGGGCTCCGACTCTCGCTATAAAGATTGACGATTTATTTTCAAATATTCAATTTAAGTGTTTCAAATGAAAGCCCATGTTGAGAAACCTCTAAATCTCAAATTTTAGCTCATTTAAACATGTCTGTGAAAAATGGTGAAGGAGTTACTTTTTAAAATTTTATAGGGTAATATATGTAGTCCATCTAATCTTTCTAATAGTCGTATTTCAGTTAAAGTGCAACCAAAAGATCTGAAATTTTCATCATAAACTATTCTTATCGAGTCCTTAATATACACAAAGTTCCAGGTCAAAATTCGAATTTTCATTTTTTTCGAATTATCTATAGGAAATTGCCGTGGTCCCCCTCAGGATCATGAAAAAAATGAAAATTCGAGTTTTGACCTGAAACTTTGTGTATATTAAGGACTCGATAAGAATAGTTTATGATGAAAATTTCAGATCTTTTGGTTGCACTTTAACTGAAATACGACTATTAGAAAGATTAGATGGACTACATATATTACCCGATAAAATATTAAAAAGTAACTCCTTCACCATTTTTCACAGACATGTTTAAATGAGCTGAAATTTTGAATTTAGAGGTTTCTCGACACGGGCTTTCAACTGAAATCCTTACATCGTATATTTGAGAATGAATCATCAACCTTCATAATCAAAGTCGGGGCCCAAATTTGGCCTTTCTAGTCTTGTTCAAAAAATTTTTGCTACCAAAATTCATTTCCACAAATTTTTGAAAACGTCAGTCGATGCAGTTTGATGTGCTCTTTCAGATGAGATAGCTCTTGATTTACTCTAGCGCGCTGATCCGACCAATTTGCCATATATACGTGAATATGCTTTCCGGATATGGTATATAACACTAGCCCAAAATTATTAGATGATAAGACACTTTCAATACCATGAAAAGATAGCTCATCATCGATAGTATTTATGGTAAAAAAATTTCTGTTATAACTCTTGTTGTTGTTTAGAAAATAGAGATTTACTGGAAGGTATTGCACTATAAAGTACTCCAAATGGGACCTACCCCGTCATACTTGTATCGTCTATATCTCCAAAACGGCTCATCCGTTTGAGCTGAAATTTTCAGCTTCTTCCTAACTTTGTTAGGGCTACCTACTGTAAAAATATCAGCCAAATCGGTGAGATCGATTGAGCAACGTTGGTCGTCGCTTACGTGCAATGCCTCTTAAGGGCTGTTATCCTAATATTTTATTAGTATAATCAAAATAGCAACTATACTGTATTTTTCTCGTTTCTGATATACTATTTCATAGCATAGAAGAACCTTGAAAACTACAGTAAACACAATAACAGAAAAATACATAGTGTAAAGACAAATTCAGAGAACAACAAAGGTTAAGTTACAATTATGGATAACACTATGTATGAGAGAAGAACAAACTAATAATGGCATTTCAGAGTACACATGAGAGAAGAAAGAGATGAGAGCACATAAAAGTATGGATAGATAACAGACATAAAAAGACATCGCGGTCATTTTAATTGAAGATAAGTAACAAGTTACACGTTAGGTTTTGTTGTTACAATGTAGATACATGTATATCATATCATGAAGATATTAAGATACAAAGTACAAGTACTTGAACGTTCAGTGATTCTTCGTTTCATTTTATGCTTTTCATTTAAGTATCATGGCTATACCTTACGAAACCTGAGCCTTAGTGTGGTTTTTGCAAACATACATGTTTATTGATGATATGTACTATTTTCAGCTAATTATATGAATTTTATTCAGAAAAATGCTTGATATATTTACCAAAAAAAAGTGAGTTTGTTAAGATAATTTTAAGCACCAAGGAAACAGAATGATGGTTTTGAAGAATTTTGCAAGTGAAGAATCATACTCAAATACCATTATACTTGAATAATACAAAACTCAGTATGAAAACCGTCAAAACAAGTATAATACATGATGGATGTGGGTTTACTTTTCGTCCTAACCTACATTTACACTCACACCCTCTGAAGCAAGCTTCTATGTGAATCACTGCCAGAAATACTCTACTACTTTTTTAATTCGTATAGTGAAATATCAGTATTTTGAGGCTTGTGGACAAATGGTTTGGTCTGCAGGAAATATGATTATGTCATTGGATCAATCTTCTTAGATGATGCGATATTGGTATAACTTGAATTCGTTGTCAACTTCACTTACGTGTAACGTGGATGCATTCGTTTTAATCATATGAACGGCATTTTATTGACAAGAAAAATGATTATAGATAGTTCTGTATAAATGCGTTCTAACGTTTTCTGTTTGAATTAAAAACAAGAAGAAACACTCACTCTACTCTCAATTAGAAGAGATTGCCACTAACTATTCAAACTTCAGTAAGAAGGGTAGGAATAAGAATGAGATTGTTTGACAATGGAAGGAGAAATCAAAGGAAAAAAAGACCAAGACAGAAAATGAAGAAATGTAACCAATTTTTGGAAATTGCTTTTTTTGACTAAATAGCTTTTTGATATTTTAGTTTCTCATCATCACATAAGCAATACCGACGATGTTTCATTGGACTTGGTAGACATGCAGTTCAAGCACACTATAGTTAAAACTGATCTGTGAGAAAGATTACAAAATATCGTGTTTTCAGCTCTTGACCGAACAAGCTAGAACGAGTGTATACATAGAAAACAATCAAATTATATTTTATTGTATATTAAAAGCTTTGCAATTATTTTATTTTAATTTAAATAATATGTGAGAAAAATATTAAAGTTAAAGAAATAAGTTAATGTCAGTTATTGTGACATTGAGAGCCATACAGCCAAGTTAGAAATAAACATGCATAATAATAGAAAAAGAAAGATCAAATAATTTAAGGCGTTGCATCTAACTTCAATTTCTTTTTTATTTTTGCTTTTCGCTTTCTCTTTATCAAAATCAGTTTGGCATGACTCGCATCTGTTACAGAAGTCGCATTTTGGTTTTACTCTTTGGTCTTCACTATTATCAGCAATAGCATTCTTCTTTTGATTTGACTTGTCATCTTGTTTTGGTATTGGAAAACAATAACAAAACACTCTTTGCAATAGTCCACAAAAAGTATAAAGCCATTTTGGCATTTCAGCTTTTGCTGTAAAATGATTGTATATGATAAACCATGTCATTGATAATAACGTCCAACAAATTGATAACAAAAAGTATAACGTGATCATCATTAAATATTGAGACTGTTGTGGAAATAGACTGGCGAAATTTAGTGAGTAAACAGAATATGTCATAAAACATGTCATACCTAAAATGCAAATAAAATATATTTATTTTATCAGTTCTATCTCATATTCAAGAAAAGAAAATATTCTTACATAGACCGATTTGTGTTGCAAATGGTAATGGATATGATAACAACGTAACACAATTTAAAATCAAACATGCAAATATACCATTCATCATAAAAAATAATGGTTTTCTTTGTAGAAATAATTGTATGGATATAATAGGATTAACAGTGTTCTCAAATGGTGCTCTATCTGCTGCATCGGTTATATCCAAATCTGTTCCACTCAATTTCCATAAAGGATGTTCACTATATCCACTGGTATCAATTACTAAACTACGGTTTTCTGTATACACAATTCTATTATATCCTTGACTCCATGATGTTAGATTAATGCTGCACATTTGTCTATCAAATGGAAACTTTTGAACAAAGAAACTACATCTTGTTCTTATTGTTAATGCTGGTAATATCATATACACTTGACCTGTATAATAGACAGATGCCAAACTATAATCACTTACTGTAAGATAACCACTGGCATCTGCAGAATTCAATATCATGGTATCTGGTATCCATAAACTTTTAACTGGTAGCATAACTACTGTAATATTATTTGAAGCAGTTGGTGTCCATGATAATCGACTATCGATCCAGCTTTGCGAGAAAAATAAACTTGATGTCATTATTTGTTGTTTTTCATCTATAGCAACAATTTGTTGTAGTGAAGCAGTGATATCAATTGATACTTGTTCATCTGGTCTTATATTTTTACTATAGTTAGTTAGCAATGTTGTTATTAATGTTTGTTCGTCTGTTTGTGCAGTCGGTAATGTTCCGCCATTACAAAAGAGAAAGAAATAGCATACCAAGATAATAAAAGATAGTAATTTTATCATTTTAAGATTCTTTATTTCAGTACGACAGATCAATAAGACTTTTCAAACCTGTTTGTTGCTAGTTGTTTTTACTAAAATATAGAAAAGAAAAGCTTTATATATATGATGTCATAAAAAGCGTCTATATTTGAACAAGTTCCATTATGAAGAAAATACAGTATTTATTTTACGAATGCATTGTTTGTGCTAATGAAAGATATTTTTTCTAGGAAGTCTATTTCAAAGATGATCATTCACCACGATAGAGAAATCAATTTATTTCAAAATGAAAAAAAAAACAATGTTCAAACAACTCGGTAAGTCTTTTCTTTTTCTTTGTTGTCTTTTTTCTGAAGTCAAGAAATACGGATCGCTTCCGGCAGGAAAACGCCGGAAATCTATGGCAGATAAAATCAGTATTCCGGACTGAACAATTTGCGGATATTGCCAGAGGACTTTCGGTCAACTTCCTCTTCTTTTTGTCAGAAAACAACCGTGAATCATTGAGAAAATTTTGGATACGTTGTAATTTCGAATACTGCTTTTCTGTTTCATTGATTTCCAACATATTTTCTGTCGTTTTCAGTGAAATTCGATTCTTTTCGCGGGCTGAAGTCAGCGATCCGGGTTCATCAAACGACTTCACAGAAAAGTTTCTTATGATTGTAAATGAACTTTCACTTTATCAATTTTTATATTACCTTCATTGGTTTATTAACTTTATTTCGTCTTTCAATTTCAAAGTGTTCTATTAAAATTGTTATTAGATAGAAATAAAACTTAATTTTATTCTGAAAGACTGTAACGGTTTCTCAAGAAAGAAGACAAACATATGTTGACAGATATTTTTTTAAAAATTACTCAGAGATTTTTCGATATTATTAGCTAAAGCACGCTTGACTACTTATGAGTTGTTAGAAAAAGTGATGGCATAAGTAAGAAATTTGCATATGCTTTATATATAACAATCTTTGAGTCTAAAATAGTAAACGATCTACTAGTTGAAGCAATTCTTGTTCTATACGGCTTTGTTTTTCATAGGTATTGAAAATCATTCTTGAATTTTACAGTAAATCGCGAATATTTTATCGTTTGTATGGCATATTCGAATTCGATAATATAAGTTTTGCTAAATAAAGAAAATAATCTGATGATGAAACATATTCTAATGAATTCCATATTTCAACTGCATCTTTTGATCGATTTTGATTTAAAAAAACAAAAGCATTCATTGTAATTATTAAGAGTCTTCTTTTCGTTTTCTGATGAGAGTACTACCCGCTTATACATATAATGTACTCCTTTATTTTGTAGAACTCGTGTTATGCTTTTCGAATAAAAATAGAACGAGTGTAAGGTTTTTTAGTAAAGGCTTTGCGACTCTCCTTAATAGCAACAACATAAGGGAGAATTCAATGATTAATGAATGAATTTTCCTAGCAATCGAGAACAACAAGTGTCCCATTTATAGATACACTTGCTCGCTTTGCTCTTCTCAATGATGAAAATAACACGTCTATCCAGTTACATTGTGAAGTTATTCCAAAAAACACACAAAGGTACATTACACTTCTAAATAGATATTATATGCATCGTTTCTATGGCATAACACTGTCTACTACAGTAAAGATTTGGTTGCTTCAATTAATTTAGATGATCAAACTTTTAAATATAAGCGAGATAAAGACATAATTATTGGTTGTACAATATTCGAATTGTACTTATTAAAATATCGATATTTTGATGTAGTTCAATCGATGATTTAAAATTAAGAATGACATTTGCAAATAATTCAATAGTGATGTTAACATGAATAAGTTTGAAGTCCGTTAAATCTTATCAAAATCTATTCATACTTACAAAAAATAAGATAATAAAAAAATTTTACTTATAGATTCAATCAAGAGCATTCTGATATAATTATGAACGATTTTATGGTAAATAATTCCAGTCGAATTGAACTATTAGTATATTCAAAATGTTATTTTTATATTCAATATTTTCTAGTAAAACTTGACTAGTTAATTTATTAGTCGATTCAATGAAAACTTCATTGTTTATCATTTTGTTTGTTTTTTCTTCCATCGATTAAATGTTTTTACTCTTGACTTTTTAATCAAACGAATCAGTTCAATCAGGAAAATCCAAGTTTAGCTCTTTCTCTAATGATCAAAATCATTTTGGTACGCTTTTTCTCTATTAGAAAAAAAAAACTTTCGACATTCAACTTGAAGACGATGGTATGTGGGAATATTAATGTACATTTTCTTGGTATAGTGACACGCAATGCAAACGAAGAAAAAAAGCACATTGCGGAAGAACATGATGAAAAAAGTAAACACGTACAATGATAAATGTATCATTACGAAACCAACTGCCTACTTCATCAAAATGTCCTGCTCGATTAATGCACATAGTAACACACAAGTTGGAAAAACCAAGCAATGTCGCCATTAACAAGAATGTAACACAGGTAGTTGCGAACACATACAAAACATAATTCATATATTTCAGTATCGTTTAGTACGTGAGTATACTTTATTTTCAACTTATTTAAGAGACATTGCATGCGAAAATCAAGCAATTTTTAATAGCGCCACATTCTTTAAGATTTGATTCTTCTTCCTTTCTTTTATTATTACACTGTAAAATTTAAATAAATTCTGTTTTCTTGAAAACCGAGTTAGTAAAAGCTCGAACATTTTTAAATTATTTGCTAATCGTCAAATAATTTTATAGTTTGCAGAAAATGTTAGACTTGACGAAAGCAGAGATTCAATCCGATTTTTTGAAAAACAAAAGTATTTTCAAATGCATCGAAAGATCAATCACAATTTTTAATGATGTTTGAAAATGAATTCCAGTTTTATAGGAAATCAATTCAAATTCTACAATAAGGAGAATACGAACAGTAGTTGTTGAAATACCTTTCAAAAAATGGTGACTATAGAATCATTATTTAGCCACATATGTAAGTCAGTTGAGGGACTCGAGAATTTATTTTTGTGAGACAACTGCATCAAATCAGCCAGTTACATAGTGTGTATGAGTGTAGAGTGTGGATGCAGTCATATGGTGTATCTTTCTTACGTATTTACATCAACACCTCACACCCTGCAGGCCACCGTGCTTGAATAATTTCGGGTGAAAAGCGGATACGGCCGCGTGACTACCATTTAACCATGTTAGCAGTTAAAACTTCTCGAGTTTGAAACAGAAAAGTCAATTCAACTGTAATGGTGCACTGCAAGAGTTATGTTCGCACCTTGTTTTTCAGGCACAGTGCATGCATCTAGTGCATTGATTATTGTCGACATCAATTCTATACGTGAAGCGAAGTTTTAGACGTTGACAGCGTCTCTGTCCAATTTTGAAAAAAAAGTTAGCAAAGGGTTGAAAACCAGTAAAGTAGTCAGAACCCTCATTGACCACCTCATAGATGCTAATTCTCGTAGATTTTCACTAGTAATATTGAGGCTTACTTATGCGAAAAGTATGAGTTCAAAGTCAAAGAAGTACTTGAAGTATTTCTCACATGAATCTAAAAGGAAAACAATACCTTATAATTCGTACACAAAAAGAAGAAACCTCTTTGGGTCACCGTGTGTTGCACCAGAACATTTGCAAAAAAACAGACGCTTTTCTTCTTGCAACGGGTTCTTATGATCTCATTTGTTAAGACTTTTTGTATATATGTATGTGTTTTCTTCGATCATAAGATTTTTCAAAGAACATTCTCCTAATGAATTTACTTAAATTTGAAAACAGATATGCTATCATCGCCATACTGTACGGCGTATGCATCATATCCTTGGTACTCTTTAAAACGTCCAAAGATTGGTATCTTAACGTGTTTCATGAATCCTCGCAGCATTTTTTCGGTCAAAGTGCTTATATCTCGACATCTGATCGCTTGAATTCAGGTGCACAATCTCTATCACTGACGTATAAAGCTCGTAAAAGATTTTCTTCTGATATAAACAATCTGTACGCAAGAGTTATTGCAAAATTTATGTCACCTCTGGCTCAAGATCGCAAGTAAAATACGTGGTTTTCCGGTTTCTGTTAATCAAAACTTCCCTATGTTTACTAGTGCTCATATGCTTGAGCTAGCATTATTATCTAATGGCCATTTTCATCATTATAGAATAACACGATACACAAAGTTCGTGACGAATAATGGAAGTGTACGAGGGATACTACGTTCAGGAAAACCTAGCGTTCATTTCGTTCCAATGCCATGTTCTGTCCTTGCATCACATGATCTCACGCCTAATTTCGTGAAAAAGAACACCAGCAAACGGTTTCCACATCCTGGGTTCTCGACAATACTACAACATGTAGTTGATGTTAGCCCGAATGCTGATCTACCCGATCACGTTGATTTGTATATCTCAACCCATGATTATTCGTAGCTCGACCTAGATCGTAAATATCACGTTCCTGCATTTCGTAAATTAATAGGAAACATGGGACAGACACTGATACCGCCTCCACTTTTCAGCGTCTGTAGAAAAACAAAAAAAATTGGATATACCAGATTTGTATGCTGACCAACTTCTCGTAAATCTGTTGAAAAAGTAGTACGTAAGCTATTCATTTTCCGAAATCGAAGTGATGATGAGTTCGAAATAACCCTATCTGAATTCATAAGATGCAATGATACAGCTATTTGGTGCGGTGGTACCAGTGGTCAAACCTATGCTTTGAATAATTGGCTATTCGGCCAGAGTAGTCAACTTGTACAACTAAAAATGATGGCACCTCATTTATTGGACGCGAGATTTACTGAATGCGTGGGCTGTGCATTAGATGCTGCAAAGATTATGAATATCTCTTTTGGTCAATGGCTAAATACATGTTTTATATCCAGTGACATGTATTTCACGAGAAAATTTCTTATCGATATTGAAGATAATGGTTGGTCTTCATGTTTCTACGAGTTGATGCTTACTGGTGCTACACTTTTCAAAGCGTATCGTATGAATAATTGTGACAAGTTTTGGTATGATCTATTGAGA